TATACTTACCATCTCTAGGACTTGCATTGTCCAAACAACTTAGTATTTTGTAATTTTAAATACAAGATAAGATGCATCTACATTGTAGTTTATAATTGGTTGAAACAAGCTTGTCCAAGATGGGGATCACTACTGTCCAAGATGTAAATGAATGAGCTAGAAATCTGAAACTTCTTAAGAGTATTCATTCCCGTGGTGGTCATTGGTTTCTGTGCTAATGTGACTTTCATTTTTTTTAAAGAATTTCCTTTATCTCCATACATTTATATTAGGATAGTAAAGATGATTGAAATGCATATTGTATCTTATGTGATTCCACCAAACCATCTGTTTTGCTGTTCCAATAAAGCCTTGGGAAATGATATTTTTCAGTGGAACATTGGTGAAATTATGTGAAGTCATTCCTGTTATAACTATCGTCTAGCACAGTTAGTGTCCTGCATCCAAAATATTGATGCAGTGAAATGTGGACATTTTCCTTTCTTGGGCTATTTTTCTTTCATTGTGAATTCGTGTCTGCACTGAAGTCAAACCGCTCCTTCATGATGTTCTACTAATTTCCGTGAAGATAATAGAATCACTTTTGCATTTGTGTAGGGACCAACTCAAGCTCATAATTTAAACATTTTCTTACTGAAGCAAAATCTGATATTGTGATCAAGGTAATTTGTTATTTTTTCTACTTTTATCATCTTCTCAAGAAAAATGTGAATTTTCCCTCATATGAAACTTGTCACCATATTCTTCTTCATGCAGATTGGTCTAAGAAATGGTTCTCACTCATTTGTTGAGGCTCGTGCTACTGGGTTTTCAGAAGAAAATGGAACGCTAGGGAACAGTTTCTCTAGCAGTGATTTGATGCTGCTCTTCATATCTGATGCAGTTCAGGTATCAGTTTGCTTTGTTTATTCAGGTGTCATCCTCTTCACACGGCTCTTTCTGTATTTAAAAATGAATGCTTGAATTTTTTATTTAGTGTAAAAATGATTACTTAAAGGAACTAGCAGATGAATCAGAGACAAAAAACAATAATTAGGTTTTATAAGCTTTCAAGTTTTTTTCCATTTCAATACTGATTAAAGTGTTCACAATATTTGTTCATTTTAATTTTATGGGACAACTCATTCATCATTTTGGCATGCATTTCAGTACGATAATTTTGAGAAAGTGTTCTTCCACATGAAACCAAATAGCATACTTTGGACTCTCCTATGAATTACTTTGGGGCCATTTTCAGTCATTGAGCATTGACTTTCCAAAACACATCAGCATGATAGATGTATATCCTAAGGGAATGGGATCCTCTGTGAGAAGGTCATATGTGCAGGGGAAAGAATTCAATGGTGTTGGCATTAATTCGAGTTTTACTGTCCACCAGGTTTGTGCATCTAAGAGATTGTGGAAGAATGTGGTAATTGTGAGTGTAGGTGTGCGTGAGGATGGGCATGTGTGCACATTTGAAGTTCTTGATATATGAGATTTGGTGGTTTTTTACCTTTATGTGTACGATGTTGATGACAGAGCTACAGGCATTGCCTTTGGTTCTCCTTTTACTTTTGCCACTACTTCGGAGCAGGAGTACAAGAGGGATATTATTGTAGAGAGAGGTAAGAGTCGTTTTTTGTATCACTAATTTCTTTTTCACTCGATGATGATAGCTGTAATGGTATTGTAGAATATTGTTTAGAAGGTACACTCAAAATGGTATGTGTGAGGATCTTACTTACAACACTGTGGAATGAATAACTAGAATTATTTCTTGGACCATATGAATAAACGTTAGTTTTAGTAGCACAAGTTTTTTGTCCCACTTTATCTGCACTTGTTATATTCCCGTTATTGCATATTTCATTTGATCCTTTCCACTACTTTTTGTGCTTGATGTATCTCCTAATTCATTTTTTATGTTGTATTTTGTGACAGGGTATCCTGGTTGTCTACAATTCATTGACTGAAGATAGCAAAAAGGACATTGAGACTGCATATAGCTTCTTAGCAATTTGAGTCCTGATGTTAGAGAATACTACATCCCATAGACGTCCTTTTGCATTGTTCTTACCTACTACTGTATTGTGTTATTAATTCATAAAATTCGAGTTTAAATAATGGAAGTGGTGGGCCGAGAATTTAAATATCTTCTTCTTTCCCGAACTTCTCAAAATAATCCAATTTCATTCATGATAATCTTGTGATTTGAAATTTTGAATGTCTTTTTTATGATTTGCATTTTTCCACACGCAATTCTGCATAACAAATAATCAGTTCACAGATACCATTCTCTCTCCTGGAGAAGATGGTTAATAATAGTTGGTCCAATATTAAACCGAGTACTTGAACAATTTAGCATATTACGTACATTTCTTTTATGAGCAAAAATTGTAACAAACTGGGTTAGTATGTGTGACAGCGAAATATTCATTCGTCATCTAAAATACAAAATTCTAACTTCTAAATCTACATCAGCTTTGTTCAATCAACTAACAGATTTCTCGTCAATCCAAACACTAAAAATAACTTCAAAATATCACAGTCCGTGCATTGCACAGGCAAAGACTAGCATTATAAAAAATGGGGAAAGTTCCAAAAGATGCCCACAGTATAGTTTTACCCGAAAAACCGAACTGTTATCTTCTGTCTTGAAGAGGTTGGGAGAGCTTGAAGAGAAGGTGAATGCTCTTCAAGAAAAGCCACTAGGGATGCTTCAAGGGAAATAAGAACTACTCAATACTGTCCTTTGTTGAGTTGATGCCCTAGAAGCGGAGTTAATTGCCACCAAAAAGGTGTATCCTGTATTTTGCAACAATGGGAATAGCTATATAATAACAAAATTAATCAGGTACAATTTCATTCTACATTGCTGAGGAAAGCTTGGTGATGTGGTTATCATAACATGGAAAACTTGTGCAGGACAAATACTATTGATTCTGAATAGGATTGACTATGAGATCTTAAAAAAACACAAATGAATAAGAGTAGAAAATGGTATGTTAACTTCTCATTACCTCATTCCCCAACTTGGTTGCTTGTGTGAGGAGCAAGACATATAATAATATTTTCTATTTATTTTTTTGGTGTCAACCTCAGCTCCCAATTGAGAGAGGTCTTTTTTTACTCTGATTATAGGCATTAATCAGAACTTTAACCTCTTTTTATTTGGAAAGGAAAACAAAATAGGATAATTCTTTTTATGAAATTAGATGGAGATCTTTGAAATGAAAAGATTTTTGTACTTAATTGGCTAGCCACACATATTAATCTACCTAACAACCTTTAATGAATAAAAGTATACACCTCTCATTATTTTTAACATCAAACACGCTAATATTACCTTCAAAATAACACAACCGGTGCATTGCACCGGCAAAAAACTAGTATTGAAACAAGTAGAAAGAATATTTATACATATACATTCTTAAAAGTAAGTTTGATAGTTAAAAAACCAATTGTGAAAAAATATTTGTAAATTATGACAAGTTTTTATTAAAAGTCACTTTCTTAAAAGTAATATTGTTAGTTAAAAACTAATTTGATAAAATATTTGATAGAAAAGTAAGCATTGATTTGGTACAAATTAAAATTTTGATTTTAATTTAAATCAAAATCAACAATTAATTTTAATTGTATAAATCATGTGATTCACAACATTTCAATAACAAATTTTGTTACATGCCCTTCACCTCGTCCATCCACCTCATTTGCCACGTGTGGATGAACTGATTTGGTACAGTCACGTGTTAGACGAACTGAATTCATATAGGACGAATTGATTCCATTACTCCGAACCAAAACACTATTGCCAACTGGTGGGAGAGCCGAACTCACCCGCCATTCACGATGGGTGCAAAGGCCCACACTCCACATTCAGTGTAGTTCACAATCCACCTCGCCACACTCCCTACTAAGATCTTTTAGGAGATCTCTAAAGTCAAGTCCCTGACTGATTGATGGGACGTATGACAGGTTACAAACGGTCAACTCAGCTGCTATGTCAGAAATCATTTAATGTCTGTCAACCTATGGATTGATGGATTGGTGCCTATGAAAGGATGACCCATTCGGGATTTGGAGCTACTTGTCCCTTCATCCAACGATTCATATCTTCCCTTCTCTAGTATAAATACCCTCACACTTGTAAGAATAGAGGGTTCCAATTCAAGCTTTGCATTCTAGTCTTCAACTCTAAAGAGCTTTTCTCTATGTTCACGCACATTCTCAACCACGTCCCGATGACCACTTCACCATCCGACATCACTTTTCGGTTGATTAAAATACTAACTTGATCGTCGGAATGCTCGCGGCAGCTTCTGCTTTCACCGAAAAAGGACACGAGTGACTAACAGCGTGCTACCATGAGCAGGAGGAGCATACGTGAAGACTTATTCTGTTGGTCACTGTCGGAGCCTTTTTCGAGGTCAACACATTTAATTATTTTTTT